GCTCGACGTACGGCGAGCTAGTTCAGCTTGGCCAGGTCGCCATATGGCGAACTAGGTGATAAAAACCTGTGGGGCAAAGTCAGTAGTTCGCCTGCTGGCGAACTAAGCCGGCTTGGCTTAGTTCGCCAGCAGGCGAACTAGTCGAGGGACTCCTAGTTCGCCTGCTGGCGAACTAAGCCGGGCCGGCTTAGTTCGCCAGCAGGCGAACTAGTGGGGAAGCTCCTAGTTCGCCTGCTGGCGAACTAAGCCAGCTCGGCTTAGTTCGCCAGCAAGCGAGCTAGTCGTGACTAGTTCGCGTTCTGCGGCGATTTCGGTTTTTCGCGGTTTTGTAAAACGATTTCTCGAGTTTTATAAAACGATTCTCGAGTTTTATAAAACGATTCTCGAGTTTTATAAAACGATATTCGAGTTTTATAAAACGGCTTCTCTAGTTTTATAAAATGATCCTCGAGTTTTATAAAACTATCTTCGAGTTTTATAAAACGGCTTCTCGAGTTTTATAAAACGATCTTCGAGTTTTATAAAACGATTTTCGAGTTTTATAAAACGATCTTCGAGTTTTATAAAACGGCTTCTCGAGTTTTATAAAACGATCTTCGAGTTTTATAAAACGGCTTCTCGAGTTTTATAAAATGATCTTCGAGTTTTTAAAAAACGATCTCTCGAGTTTTATAAAACGACCTTTCGAGTTTTATAAAACGATATCTCGAGTTTTATAAAACGATCTTCGAGTTTTATAAAATGATATCTCGAGTTTTATAAAACGATCTTCGAGTTTTATAAAACGATCTCTCGAATTTTATAAAACGATCTTCGAGCTCTATAAAACGATCTCTCGAGTTTTATAAAACGATCTTCGAGTTTTATAAAACGATCTTCGAGTTCTTACAAAACGATCTCTCGAGTTTTATAAAACGTTCTTCGATTTTTATAAAACGATTTCTCGAGTTTTATAAAGCGATTCTCGAGTTTTATAAAACGATTTCTCGAGTTTTATAAAATGATTCTCGAGCTTTATAAAACGATTTCTCGAGTTTTATAAAATGATTCTCGAGCTTTATAAAACGATTTCTCGAATTTATAAAACGATTCTCGAGCTTTATAAGACGATTTCTTGAGTTTTATAAAGCGATTCTCGAGTTTTATAAAACGATTTCTCGAGTTTTATAAAACGATTCTCGAGTTTTATAAAACGATTTCTCGAGTTTTATAAAGCGATTCTCGAGTTTTATAAAACGATTTCTCGAGTTTTATAAAACGATTCTCGAGCTTTATAAAACCGTTCTTTTTGTATTCTTGCGGAAAGTTTTGGCTATTGATTTCGTCGTACCGATTTTGACCCCAACAAACATTACCCGAAACATGTACATCACAGAGGAGCTTCAATACCGTAAAGTGTAAAGAAAGAAAGCTGTAAAGGAGGGTGGAAATGGAGAGACACCAAAAAGAATGACCCAAACACCATTGTTGGAGCAGTGGTTGCAGGACCTGACAAGCATGACGGATTCCATGACCTTCGTACTAATTATAACTAAACTGAGCCGACTCTTGCAGGAAATGCTGGTCTGGTTGCAGTTTTGGTGGCTTTATCAGGAGAAAGAACGTTAGGAGCTATTGACAAGAACTCTATGTTCTCTGCTGTGCCTCCATTAACACCTGCCACACCACCTCCTCCAGCTCCTTGGACTCCATAAAACGAAAACTGAAAACCTTTTGAGTGTAAGAAGTTATCTAGTTTTGCCTTGATTAAAACACAAGTTAACAACGTAGTTTTAATGATTAAAAAATAATTTGCTTATTGCATAAAGTTGTCTGAGAAACCAAATACTGTTTTCTATGCTTTTAGGTACATCATGTGGATGGTACACGTTAGTCCTCGGCATTTCGGTTTTGTGGCTTAAGTTGGATCTGGTTATTCGGGTTGAGTTGAGATGTTTTAGACCTATTTAGGAACCTCTAAATTTTCTGATAGGATACATTCAGGTTTAGTTGGGTTCAGATCAGTTTTCTATTTATATGAAATCCGAAACAAAACCGAACTACATATGTGCAGGTTTTAGTTTTACACATAATATATATCATTTGTGATATTTTCTATAGCACAAATGAAGTTACTTCAAAAAAAATGTTCTACTAAATACATAAAAGTGTAGTTCATATATAGGAAGTTATAGTCACATATCATGCAAATAGTAGCTAGAAACACAATTTGATTGCCAAAATCTTTTGAGCCTCACATCAGCTAGTTATTCTCATCAAACTGAGTTATCATTCAATAATATTGCTACAAATTAGTTTCTTTAATTGTTTGAACTTATTGAATGGCATTTAGATAAATGTATAATAGATGCTTAACACATTTTTCCGAAATGACCAAAAATTATAGATGGCAATTGGAATTGTCAATCTGTAAAGTTGATTTTCATGTACTAGTGTTGTTGATTACTTACCTTGGTGATGGAGATGCAATGAGAAATTGAGAATGATGACAACATCATATATAATAAATAATAAATAAATCTATCTATCTATCTATCTATTATTATAAAGTATAGTTTCCTCTCTTCTTAAAGTGCCACGTCAGAAAATAACTTCTTCTAGTTATGACACGTGTCTTCATAAACATGTTTCTCTTTTTCTAGTTTCATGCATATGGGATTTACGTTTAAAAAGGCTTTACACTGTTAGGCTAGGAAAAAAATTATTTGGGCTACTCCCGCTACTTACGTCACCTTTTTTTGACCAAAACACATTCACCTTCTTCACCAATGTGGCTCATCGAGACGAATCGTGATGATTATGTGGATCAAGAGGTTTTGGTGTCTTTTCATCTCCTCTCACTACAAAAAGTATAGGTATTAATAGCAGTTCGCGGTAACACGAATTCACTAACTGCTATCAAAAGTGTAAAAAATCAGAGCACAACTCTATCGTAGCACTAAACTTGCGCTAAGAAAGATTTTCATTAAGCGGAAACCCAAAAATTACTACTATTATATAGCTAGAATGTCATTTTGGAGGCAAAAACACTTAGCAACATTTCATTTTGGCACCAAAATATTTCATTTTATAAAAGTAATATTTTTTTTTGCCTAACTCATTGTACTCTTTCAAAAAAGAAAAAAAAAAACTTAATTATTTTTCTTTGTTGTTTACTTCAATCTGTTCATCCTTCATCTTTTACTTTAGTTTGTTTTTTTTTTTCATTTTTTTCATCCCAATGGAAGAAACCACATAAGGATTGGATCTCGTCTTTCCCAAACTCCTCCATTTTGCACTCTGTATATCAATCATCTTCGTCTCTACCAAACCCTAACCCTTGAACGACGATTACGTCTCATAATCATCTCCACAAGACCTCGCAAACCCCTCAATTTTACTTCTTCATGCGTCACCTCAGATCCCAACGCCTCTGGTTCGATAAAGAGAGACGGATGCACCAGTAGCCATGGTTGAACAGGGTCTGTTTCTTCTTACAAATATTCTCATCCTCTTCTCTCTCTTCTTTATCGTTTTGGTTTACGAATTGGTCCTTATGATGACGATTAAGTGTGTGTTTCAGCGAGAAGAAATCTGGGAAAGGAAAGAAACATGTTAAAGGTGGAAGCCGTTTCTGCAAGAACATTGGTTTGGTTTGGTTTCTCTCCCCTCTTCTATATTTCATTCATGTGCGTGCACAATTGTGTTTGCGTGGCTAGGTCGTCAATTAGGTATTTCAGATTGGGCGTAAAATTCTCTATTTTCAGTTTTGATGAGTAAGTCTGAGACTCTTGTGATTGCAGGAACTGATGTTCAAAGAAGAGGTCACAGACAGTTAAGCTTGTGAGTGATTCAATAGATAAAGAGTCCAACTTTTCTCTTTTGTTCAACTGCTGCTTCCTGCAACTTTTGCGTCCAGTGTAAGAACCTTCGCTAATGTTGCAATGTTGTTCCCTTCTTTCTTAGTTTTCAATTCTGCTAGGTAGTTAAAAGTCTCTGCCCTTGCTCTGTTCTTGGCTAAAGTTTGTCTTTTTGCCTTGTTGTTGGCTAAAGTTATGCTCTATGTTACAATTTTAAGTCTGACTTTGGCAATCACAAGAAGAAGAAAATAAGTTTAGTTTTAATGAAGATGAAGCCTCTCATTCTTGTTGGAGGGTTATGGACTCGGTTGATACAAACCCATGATCCTTCATCAGGTAACTTAATGATCATTCTTCTATTCCAAACTAGGTTCTGCTAGTTTTTATTGTTTTTGTCTCAGTTTTTAACCAAGCACGTGTTCTTATAGACAGATGAGCGTAAAGCAGTTGGAGTTGATGAAGTGGTTCTAGCCATCAATTACCAACCAGAAGTGATGCTTAACTTTTTGAAACACTTTGAAGCAAAGCTAGAAATCAAAAGCACTTGCTCACAAGAGACTGAGCGTATGGGTACGATTGAGTCCAGCTTGGGAAATATTAAGGAAGTTATTAGTCTTATATATGTTGGTATATTTGTTAACTTATGAATTATTTTGGCCTTATGTATATTTTGGATGGTAGTTAGTGAATGTAGTGGTTCCCTTGGAGATGCAGGGGAAGCCCGATTGACATTGATTTTCATTATGGCATTAGTAGTTTTTATATGTTGGAGCACTTCTGGTTTCTAATGAGCAAGATTATGTTTAAAATGGTCAATGAAAATTTATTTTAGTTATTTACTTATTGATAATAATTAGAGCAATTTAGGTGGAAAACATAGAAAGATCACGAAATTAGGAGTATACCAATGAATGAAAAGATAACCATACGTGGCAGAGAGTAACGAATAAAAAAGATGGCAATACCCCCAAATGTTTGACGACTCAGCTTCTAGGTAATAGACTCCTAGAATATTTTTTCTGACAGAATATATTTAGGTGGATTTTATAAAATAATATAAAGATTTGGTTTAGACTATATGAATCTGCATCGGTAACCAAAATGCTTTTCCCTACACAATATATCTGACGCATTTGTCATAGCTGTAACCAAATCCAACAAAAGATTTGTCTGAGATTTTTTTTTTATTCTCTTTCTTCGTACTCTTTTTTTTTTCTTCTGCTTTTTTTCATTCTTCTAATGATGATATCATGCCTCCATGAATTCTCTGGATCTCTTTTTAAAGAATATACATGTATTCACTTGATTTTGTTGACTTTGATGTTTATTCTTAGAATTGAGCTTTCTCTTTATGATATTGCCAACTCTGATATTCATTTGGTCTTATTGTCAAGTTATGACAATGACCATAAATATTAGCCAGCCAATACCAATATACTAATATGGAGTCAAACTCTTTGACCGGTCAATATATACAACCTACGAGTAAATCTAACAATATACGGCTAAGATGAACTTTAATACATTATCGTTTATGTTTAACGGATAAGTTATCCGGTTAACAAAACACATAATTGTATAAGAAATTATCTTTGTAGATAATTTGTTTACACTTACGAGGAAGTGTAGGGGTGGGTTGGGAATAAGTGTGTTGGTATAAGGATTTAGATAACCACACCAAAAATTACTACATCTGAAACCCTTAATAATAAACGCTTAACCCAAACAATAAATCCAATGCCATGAATCCTAAACTCTAATCAAATCATAAACCCTACCCAAATGATGAACCCTAAACTCTAACCAAATCATAAACCCTAAGCCCTAATTAAAATCTTAAATCTTAAATCTTAAATCTTAAATCTTAAATCTTAAATCTTAAATCTTAAATCTTAAATCTTAAATCTTAAATCTTAAATCTTAAATCTTAAATCTTAAATCTTAAATCTTAAATCTTAAATCTTAAATCTTAAATCTTAAATCTTAAATCTTAAATCTTAAATCTTAAATCTTAAATCTTAAATCTTAAATCTTAAATCTTAAATCTTAAATCTTAAATCTTAAATCTTAAATCTTAAATCTTAAATCTTAAATCTTAAATCTTAAATCTTAAATCTTAAATCTTAAATCTTAAATCTTAAATCTTAAATCTTAAATCTTAAATCTTAAATCCTAATCGATCATAAAGTTAAACCCTAAAGACAAAATCATAAACCCTAAACAAATCGTAAACCAACCCTAAACAAAATGAACCAAGACATAAACACTAAATCAATACCATAAGTCCTAAAACCCAATAACAACAGCTTAGACTATACACCATTGATCGAAATCCTTGACACTATAATACGATACACTAAACCGTATAAGCAATTTCATTAAACCTAAAGCCTGGTATATAGAGAAGAAATATAAGTCAATCATCAGATGTTCAACTATCCTTCTGGATAGTTATCACATTTTTTAGATGGCTAATTTTTCTTGTGGATAGTTAACACATTTTTTTTGGATGGCTAACATAAGTAATGAACACGTTAATAATAAACATAGCTATAAATTATAATACCCCTACACTATAATTTTAACTATATATTCAAATCCCTAAACCCCTTACAATCTATGATATAAGATTGCTTGTTAATTTTGTAGTTGGATGTGTAACTTGTTTAATAGCTTGTTAACGGTAATGAGAAACCTTATTTTCAGTTATCCAGAATTCATTGTTATGGTACAATAATTTCTATGACTAATCATTGAATAAAGTTTACAGTTAACAATTTTTTGAGCTGGTAATAAATGTAATTATCCAAACACTGCATATACAATAGTTATTGCCTTTAATTACAACTTGAAAACCCACTCTGGTTTGTTGTTTTAATCTAGATTAACTTTCATATTGAGTTTATTTATAACTGTGAATATGATTAATTCTGTCGGCGTCGACGGTATTGAGAATTTGTTTAATGCCGCAGGTTTTGTGTTACGATGTTACCATAACCCCAAATGGAGCACGACAGTGGTTCAGATTTCTTATCCTCCATTGTTATGATAGTGGTTGAAGGGACTTTATGTGGTTTTGTTGTGTCAATTAAGACGTGTTCTTAAAAGAAGATTACTTGAGAAATCTTGGAGATGAAAGAAAACGATATAGGAATTATGATGGTATCTTGTAGCATTTTCTCAGTGAAATTGAGATTTGTTCGTGAAGAGAGATAGTTGAGTGGGTTGCCTAGACGAAAGAGAAGAGTTGAATAATAGTTTCACATTTAAAATCGCCAGGAGTAAGTGAGGAGAGAAATTGTTCATGTTCTGACAAACAAAGATTTGGAAAATATGATCACATGGATAAGATTTTATTAAATCTATCTATAAGATTTAGGCTAGCTGTAAGAGAAAAAAAGACTTAATCAAACATAGAGGTAGCAGAGTCATATATGAATGTGTACAATTTCCAAATAGTCTTCTTTGGCATTCTCTTAATTACGTAGAAGTTCTTTGGTATAGCTCCTAATTTCTCTAATAATTAACCATAAAATTCAAAGATACACAAAAATAATATCATAAAAAAGAAAATCCAACACTAATAATAAATCTGACAAAAATATTACTTTTTTACTTCATGTTCTAAACCCTAAACATGCCCTAAACCCTAAATTTATCTTTTAATTCCAAACTCTATTTTTAAACATTAAAATCATTGTTTACATAAAATATAATCTTTTTAAATGTATAGTCTATGAAAATATTTAAGTTTTAAGAGTTGTGTTTAAAGCTTCAGGTTTCAACCCTAGCCCTTAAACTAAACTTTAAAACTTCAATATTTTCATAGTATAACTTAAATCTTAAATTTAAACTAAAATTTAATCCAGTCAAAAATTTAAATTACATCTTAAATCTACACCCTAAATCTAGTAACCTAAACCCTAAACCACATACCTAAAAACACTATATTCCAAAACCTAAACTTATTGATCATCTTGTTAATTTTATATCATTAGTCTTATATACAAAGTCATAAACCTAAAATTTAAACCTTACATACAAACTTAAACCTTACATACAAGTATATTCTCAAACCATATAATTAATTATAAATCTTAACCCTAAACCATATACATCACATTAACATATATCACAAAACATTAAACCTTCATTTTCAATATTTTAGTCTATCACACAACTTGAAAAATTCATATTTATTATTTTATATATAATTTATTTATAAATAAAATGATTTTATATGAATATATCATATTTTTAGAAAATTAGATCATTCTTGTGAATTATGTTGTTATCTTGAACTATACTTTTATATATAAAAATTCAATTTTAAATTAATATATAAAAATTATTATATTTATTATATAACTAAACGAATTTATATTAATAATTTTATATTTTTCTAAAATAAAAATAATTCTTATTTATTATGTTGTTATGTTGGAAATATATTTCCTATTATAAAACTTAAAAGTAAGATATAAAAAATAAATTAAATAATTAAAAATAATTCATCAAAACAATTATTTGAAATGTACATAACTTCTCCATGATTCTAGGTAATTTTGATCATTTATCATAATTTCTTTAATTTTTTTTATTTATTATATAATTAAAAATAATTTATATTAATAATATGATATTTTAGAGAATAAGTTAATTCATATGTATTATGTTGTTATCTTGAAAATATATTTTTATTATAAAATTTAAAATTAAAATGTAAATTTTCTATACTATTATTTAAGAAGTAAATTAGATGTTTGCTGATTTATCATATTTACATGATTTTAGGTAATTTGGATAGTTTATCATATAATTTTATATATAGTTTATTATATATTTAACAAAAACTTATATTAATAGTATCAGCTTTTTAGAAAATACGATACTTTTTATGTATTAGGTTGTGTCTTCAAAATATATTTTTCTATTAGAAATTTAAAATTAAGATATAAAAAGTTGTAGTTATTCTATAATTAAAATAAATTTATACTAATAATATTGGGCTTTTTGCAAATTTGACTCAAAACTCCAAGTCAAACACAAAACTAACCTCTTCTTTTGAATTGCAAAACTAACTTAAGACGACTTATCCGTAAGTGTCTAGATTTAATAAAATATTGAAATTTTAACTTTCCCAGAGACGACTTAATTGTAAGTCGTCCAGAAAAAGTCAAATATCTGACACAATTTGGTCAAATGAAAAAGTAGCCCGTTTAACCTAGACGACTTAATTATAAGTCGTCTGGTTTAAATTTCAATTGCAAAAATGACCTCATTGGACGACTTACGGATAAGTCGTCCACACGACTTTAGTAAACTTTCATGAAATTCTCTATGTTTACTAATGTGTTTTATTTTGAATTTTTGCAGATGATTCGCCAGTTACATGCAGTGTATGGAGAATGGTTGTTGAAAGATTGCCGTTGGGGTTTTTTGGTTGATGATCTCAACGGAGCAAGATTGTTTTTATTGAATGAAGATTCAACACATGCTGAACTTGTTGCAATGACACAAGAAGATTATAACCTGGACATGAGCACAGTCACTGTAGAGATTAGCTACTCATTACCATCAGAAATGATGATGGCTCCAGACACCCCTCCCATTCATGTTACAAGTGATAGAAAAGTTCGTAACTTGCTCGAGATACTCAAAACTCATAGAGTATGTCTTTGTGTATCAAGCCATAGCAAGGTGGAAACGGTTTCAGAGGAAAGGGAAGAAGCTGATGAATGGTTTGAAGATGATGAAGCTGATGAATGTTTTGAAGATGAAGGTGATAATGAGTTGG